TTGAGCAAGCAGTACATTGCTTATCTGTTGGCAGAAGTAGAATCACTGCTGGTGTTTGGTGAGAGGGTTTATATGTGCACAACATCAGCACTTTCAGCTGGGAATTGCCAGGCCAAGTCATAAATTAGAAACTTGCCCATTACTAAGGTAGTGCTTAACGAGGTGGGTTGATGTGCACACAATGAGCCAATGTCTGTAACTCATTAGGACGTGTCAGCCCCTGCTTTAGCAATACATGCACATCAACCACTGGATAATGTGTTCATAGAGCTCATTCATTTAGGAAGGTCTCTATGTTGGTGCATTAACCTAAATCAGTCAGTTGTTATTCTTCTGTAAATGCAATGTGAGGTTTAAAATACAAAACGTGTAAGTTTAAGTGGATAAGTTTTTCACGGGATTTAAGGGGGATTAAAAGGCAGAGGTGTTCACTCCTTTTCACTGCATTATGCTCCCTGAAAAAGTCTCAAATCTTGTCTAGCCTCTCATAAACACCAGTTAAGGTCCAGTGAAATACAGAACCGAGAAAAATCTTGTTCTCCTTGTACAGCAATTACCTCTGTGAGCTCAGGCTGATGTTGCAATGTCTTGTCTGTCTTGTTTTGTGCATGCTGTGTAGCATCTGTTTGTCCTGTGCAGTCATATTTCTGACTTATTTGTTCATGTCTCTGTATTGGTGTTACAGATGCCCGGTCCATTAATGGTAGATGAATAAGGAAAATATAGGTATACTTGAATAATATGATACTTATATTAAAACTATGTTCTGGTAAATATTTTAAACTAATGGATAATACTGTTAAGTGGTAAATGGTGACTGAGTTTACCTAATAGCTGGATCTGTTCCAATCCAGGAGATCACTGTATAGTTTAATGCCTCCAAATCTGTGTCTGAGTTACGTAGAATAAAATAGTTTCCTGTTTCAGGCTTTCTTTATTAAGGCTCTACATTTAAATACAATTTTAGTTTTCTCTCAAGATGCTTTTTCCTTCTGCTTTAATAGCTTTGCAATACTATTGACTTTTCATTCTAATACCATTAGTCACATATCTCGCATTTCTTTACAGACTCTTCCTTTTAGGCCTTGCAGTTCTCCAATTCTTCTCTTAACTGTTTTTCTTAGGTATTCTGTCCATGAGATCAGTTTAATGCTGTTGACTCTTTCATCTCACTTTCCATCTTACGGAAGTAAAGTTTAGTATTTACACAGCCCATTCAAGAGCAGTGACAATTGTCTGGTATTTGGAGAATCTATAAAGTGCAAAAGTGAGAAAGAGATCTTCATTGATGGGATGGACAAGAATTGAATTTTCTGGGACATGCAACAAGATAAAGTGACAGTCTGAAGACTGAGGCAGTTTGAGAAATGACCTCAAGTTTTCTGAAGGAGGCAAAAGTATTGGGGGGGTGACAGAAAAAAGGATGAGAGATCTTAAAAAGAAGTCAGTGACCATATTAATCCTGAGTCAGTGGATAAATTCAGGATGATTCACATTCCATGTTGGCCCTTAGGTGCTGATTCAGATCATTAGAAATTGCAGTGGGTGTGTGAAATGCAAGCTGCACACCCAGCACCACTGGCAGGGAACTTCACGGATCGTGCCAGGATGGGGAGAGATCCGGTGCCCTTTCTCTGCCCGGCAGGGAAGTGCCAGGGATTGAGGTGGGGTGGCTGAGGGGCTGAGAGCACGTCATGCCCCTCAGGTGCTGGCACACCAGATAAATTACAAACTGGAGCTTGGGCCTTGTAGCTTTTCTCTTCCCACTTTTGGAATAGTCAGATGTCTCCCAGCTGGAGAAGGGGAAGCAGGAATGATGGATGCGGTGGGTTGGGGGAGGTGAGAGAGAATACAGTGGTAGGAAGAAGGGTGACTGTGTGGCCCAGGGTTGCTAAAGTCACATTATTTCTGTTAGCAGAACTGGTTTGAAAGGAATGAATGGGTCATTAATGTAACTATTTCTGAGTAGGTTGCCAGTTTTGTTTGAGTGCTTACTGTAGACAGGAAGGTTATAGAAATACAGGTAGAAATGTGGAGTCTAACAATGAAAGTCAGGTCAAGAATTAAGTGCTAGGGAAAGTCTGTCTGGACATTTCTGGAGAAGGTTGGCAGAGAGAGCCTGAAGGATGTACCTAACAGTGCTTGTAGAAAATTATGAAGAAATCTGAGAGGGTAGTTGTGCAAAAGCCAGGTTTGGGAGCAAGTTGCTGAATTCAGGGAGCAGAAACTCTTGAAGTCTGCAGACACAGCAAGGATGAGGTGGATTATAGACCATGAGCATTGACCAAAGAAAAAATAGGAACATCTTGATGATAATTTTATCTTGAACGTCCAGAAATTACTTGTATACAAGAGTCAGTCCATGGAATTTGAGAGTCTTTGGCTTGCAGTGATTTGTTTCTGACCATTCTGACTAGACTGTTCTGGCCACCACTCAGGCCTGGAGCTGAGTATTGTGTTTGACCCATCTTGCTTCTCCTGTTCTCCTCCTTACCTTGTGTTCAACCCAAAGTCAAAATCTATTGCTCTGACTCCTGCTAGATGTTCTCTTGCTTTATGCAGCTTCTAGAAACAAAGAAATCTCAAGATGTGGATTTGTGGGTTTTAGGGTTTTTAAAATTTAATATAATAATATATTAATATATTAATATGATCTCTAAGAGTTATTCCTGTTTTTCCTGGTTCCCTGTGACATACCCTCTTGAGGTTTTTTGTTCCTGGTGTTAATGGCAAATCATGATATGTACTCAAGTCCTTATCCAGTAAATAAACTTATTTTTATAGTAAATTACTGTGCTGGGATGTGTCATCTGTGTCAGGACACTTGTTTCAGCTCTTGGCCTGCAGTAGCTGCTGAGGCAGCTGTTTGTCCACGTGTCTGGGGGTGCAGAATTCCTGCTCCAATCTGAGCCTGCTTTCCTTCTGCAGTGGCCTTGCAGGGTGCTCTGCTGTGTCTGGGAGCAGGACTGCAGGACATTTTTCCTGGTGCTGAAACAGCCTCTCATTTTAGCATCTCAAATGCAGCCTCACTGCTGCCTTTATTTCTCCTGAAATGTATTTGGGATGTGTGGCTGTGTTGGAGTTCCTAATGTTTAAAGAGCCACTAACAGGTTTTATATAGGTTCCACAATCCACAGCCTGGTCATTCTGTAAACCTGCATGGTCTAACCACACCATTCTGCTGACTCCTAGACTGAGACACAGAGCTGGTAATGATATTCTGCATATTCACTGCAGAAAAGAAGGTAGATTTTAAAAATCTGGTGTAATTCTGGGGCAAAGGCATGGTTTTAAAGGGTTCTGACTGGTACTGTGTAAATGTGTTACAGAGAGCCTGGAGGTACTGGTGTGTATGCTTCAGTCTGCTGCTCCCTTGAGCATCCTCACCAAAATACAAAACGTCTCTTTGGAGTTCAGTTCTGTGTTTGGGAAGGGGAGGAAGCTGTTTCTCAAAGTCTTCCTTTTTGTATTCTCTGTTAGATTTTAAGGTGTCCATGCTCATCTTTGCCTTCAGACTACTCTAATTAAAATAACTCAAAAACATCCATAAGGAGCTGTCTTTCTGTAGCCAATGGGAAAAATAAGCAGAACTCTAATTTTAACTTACACAAAATCTATTTGTACATGATACTGGTGAACATAATGGTTACTGTCAGTTTATTTAATGTCTTAGGATCTTTCTATCATAGAATGAATATAAGTTAAGGTAAATGTCTGTGAAACACAAGAGTTGTCTTGCTTTTGGATGACAGATAATCTGATCACTTATTTGGAAACAGAAATATTTTGTGTTTGATGTAAAAACCAGCCTAGGCAGCTGATGGGGTTGATTGTTTTCAATAACAAGCAAGAATGGCTGTGTGGCAGTGTGATCACACAGCTGTGCTTGGCTTTGGGCTTCTTTGTGTGGCACTGATTATTGGTGTTAGAAATATTTCCTTATATGCATAGTAAGAGAATAGTAATAGAAAAGATCCACTTGAAAGTCCTAAGGGAACAGTTTGTCTTTTCTAAAGTGGAGTTTATTGGCAGGACTGAAGCTATTGAACCAGGGAAGACGTTAATTCAGTCATACTATTTAACAAAGTTGTGATTAAATATGAAGATCGAGGTATGTTCTAAGATTCTCTGAAAATGCTACAAGCTTTGTGTTTCTGTCAGTTGAAAACTGAAATGATAATAGCTTTAGATTACATGGGTAGTTTTTACATGGACTTTCAAAGAGGAAAAAAAGGAAAGATCTGATTTTGAGAAAGATGGATGATGATAGCAGTCCTGTATTCTGTAACTGTTCAGCTGAAAACACTGTATGGTGTTTATGTTTTAGCCTTTCCAAGTAACAACTGATCATTTTGTCAGTGACATGTGATACCTGAAAGTCATGGAGACTAAATTAAAGTTCAGTTGGTGTTACAGATTTTCATTTTTCAGTTCAATATGTGTATTTGTTTTGCTTCTTTTTTTCCCCACAGTTCTGTATGTTTTTGTTTAAATATTTTATAATTTCTAGCAGTAAATTTTTGGGAGAGTATTGTTTTCATTGTTGTGCCTTGGGTATTTTATCTTTCTCCTTTAGCAGGATGGGAATATTTATATTAATCATTGTTTCCAGATATGCTGAAAAACTTTACACTGGTGAAGGGGATGTTAGTGTTTGTTCACAGCTTTGATTTTAATATACAGAGTTAAAAAGTGACTGGTGAGAATGCATGGAGAATTTGACCAAAGTATTCAGAAATGGTCATTCTTGCAATGACTGCCAGATAAAAATGAATGTGTTCTGAGTGTTCCTTGATTTCAATTTAGGTATTCTGCAAAATGAATTCACTTTTGTAAAAGTCCACTAAATTTGGTAGCTAATCCAGGGATTAAAGCAGTTTGTGAGTACTTACAGGTATTCTGAACAATAATATTAAATACCTTTACTTCCTGTGACACCTACTTCGTTTTCTGGCATGTCCCACCCCCATCAGACTAAATGTCTTTGTTTTTCTTCATAGATTGAAATGCTAAGGAAGAAAGTAAAAGAAAAGGAATTATTTATAATACAGCTTTTAGACAAAATCTCTTTCTTAGAATGTGAGGTAAGGCATTACATTTTAAGTTTAAATTATTGTGATTAGTTTATGAAACCAAATTAAATTTGAACCAATGTCATCCCATCTGGATGTATAATTACTAAATGTATTTGCTGTTCTTCAAATGGAAATTAAACATATGACACCATTCATACAGTCAGGAGTGTGTGTAATAAAGTCTCAATATTCAGGCTAAGTTTCTTAACTTACAATTTTCTAATGGTTTTATAATGAATTAGACCAGAAGTTTCTGAATAAAACTGTTGGTTTAATTTACATTCTTTCCAGAATTAAGGATTCCTTTATTTTATCGATGCATACTTTTACACTGTTTCCTGTTGGGAGAGGGCAATGTGCAATTTTATTTCCTTGTTTAATTACCATAAATAAAATACACTTGTGATGAAAATTACTGTTTCCCAGAATAAAGAACTACAAGATAAACTGGACTACTTAATGGAAAACCAACAAAAGACCAATATAGAGACCAGAGATACTGGTGTAGAATGTGATCTTCCATACAGGTATTTATTTTCTCTGCTTGTTTGTAAGAAAATTCCTCATAATGTCCCTTTTCAGTGCTGTATTAGTGACCCATTTTGCCACTGAACTGTTTGAGTGGACTGTGGAGTTTAAAAGAGCACTTCACTTCTAGATGCAGTTTACATCAGTGATTTATGCTTTTTTCTTAAAGATACAAACATACTGCAAACTCATGGGGCGTGGTTATTGCCAGTAATGCAGTTTAAGTCGAGAGTCAGAGAGGGGACTGTGAGGTGTGGCAAGTTCTGGTGCAGAGCGGGGCTGGCAGCTCTGCCCAGGCTGCTCAGCGCTGCCTTCGGGCACACTTCAGCTCTGTGCCCGGAGGTGTGACACTGGGAGAGCGGGGACACCGACAGGGGAGGGCAGCAGCAGCTCTGGAGATCTCCTGCCCGGGGTGGAGGATTGCCAGGTAAACAGGGCTGTGACATCACTGGAACGCTGATGCTGCTCCGGGGTGCCAGGCTCCCCAGCCTGGCTTTGGGAAGCCCAGGATTTCTTAAAGATACAAACATACTGCAAACTCATGGGGCGTGGTTATTGCCAGTAATGCAGTTTAAGTCGAGAATCAGAGAGGGGACTGTGAGGTGTGGCAAGTTCTGGTGCAGAGCGGGGCTGGCAGCTCTGCCCAGGCTGCTCAGCGCTGCCTTCGGGCACACTTCAGCTCCGTGCCCGGAGGTGTGACACTGGGAGAGCGGGGACACCGACAGGGGAGGGCAGCAGCAGCTCTGGAGATCTCCTGCCCAGGGTGGAGGATTGCCAGGTAAACAGGGCTGTGACATCAACAGAACACTGATGCTGCTCCGGGGTGCCAGGGCTCCCCAGCCTGGCTTTGGAAAGCCCAGGTGTGGTGCCAGGGCTCTGCAGCCTGGCTTTGGGAAGCCCAGGTGTGGTGCCAGGTGGCTTTGGGAAGCCCAGGTGTGGTGCCAGGTGGCTTTGGGAAGCTTGGTGTAGTGCCTCCCCTTCTCCCCTGCTTTCCCTGCCCTGAGCCTGCAGCAGGGCACCTGGGAGCAGGGCTCTGCACTTGCACTTCAGTGTTCCCCACAAGGCCCCACAGGAAAGGGCAAAACAGGAAACAAACCAGTAAAATAAGGAGGACTGCTTCACATTACTTTTATTACCAATAAGTAAATGTGTTCATTGTAACCACTCTTCAATTGAATTGTTTAGTTTGAAGGAAAGTAAATTAGCATATGAAATCAGCAAGCAAACTAAAATTTCCTTCATAATTTAAAAATACACTAATTTTGGAGTTCAGCCTAGAGCATATTTTAATGGTATGTGTTTTGGAACCTTAAATATACTGTTTTTTCACTCAGGTTGTCAATAGAAACCTATCTGTGTTGCCCTCTCTCGGGCCCCTCTATATGTAAGCACAGCCCCTACTTATCTGATATTTTTCCTCTTTTTGAGATTTATCTCTATGAAGGAATGCACCTCTGTGCAGTTTAGATTTCATAGAATACTCTTAATGATGAATTGTGTTCTTAAATGCAATACCGCTATCTTTTTTTGTTGCAGGACTCTTAATCCTAATAACTTTATTGCTGGGCATTCCACTGTGGGCACCAGCAAATGCTGGCCTGTAAACATATCAGTATCTGCCACGGTTTTTATCAAATACTCTTTGTGGCATTATAGAAAAGAAATATGGAACATACCAAATGCACAGATAAGTTTAATTTTAGCCTGTCAATATAACACAAGGGTGCAAGTTCATTGCCGTGGCATTACAGGCCCAGCTGTGTGATACTCTGACTTTAACACTGAGAGCTTTCTCTTGTCTCTGAACAGCACAAGCTCTGAGAACAGAGCTCCTGAGAGCCCGAGGCCGGCGAGGACGTACACGCCGTTCAAGAGAGTGCTGGAGTTCAGCGCGAGGAGCAGTCCCTCCTGAGAGCTCAGCTCATCCGCCTTCCTAAACACGAGCAGAACTTGGCGCCTTTGCAGCTTGGTTAGATAAGTTTTTATCAGTTTAGAGGAAAGCAGCAGCATGGAGTCTTGCTAAATTTATCCTGAAAGCAGCTCTTTGGTGACTTTATACCTGAAGTTACTACCGATGTTAACTGTGAGGGAGTAGGGAAGCAGCAGGCTGAGGGAAGCAGCAGTCAGGCAATATTGCTTCTTTAGAAGCTGTCTAGTGCAATGTGTCATTTCAAATGCCTGTAAGGACTTGTATAGCTGTACAGTTGGGGTTTTTTTCTTCAATTGTGTTGTAATTCTGTTTGAGTAATGAAGCTCTAATATATTCTGTTGTCAGTACTACTGGAGCAGCACCTGAAGCTGTGCTGGCAGAGGGAATTTGTGTGGAAGCTCTGAATCTGCCCAGACTGAGGGTGGCTCACCCCTGTCCCTGAGACCTGGGGCACTTGAGGGCTCTCTTCACCTGGAGCAGCTCTTTTGTACCCAGCACTCTTTGTCTGGGAGGGAGAGATGAACTGGGCTGTTTAAAACAGTTCCCTCAGCACATGGCAGATGAATATTGTGTTTGCTGCTCAAAACAGTAAGGGATAGAGCAGATTATAATAGAATTTGCTTTGTTGGACTGAGGCACTGGTTTGCACTTCCTCAGTCATGGGACAGAGTGACCATGGGTGACACATTCAGTAGCAATTGTGTAGGAAAATCCCTGACACTTTATTTATTTACTTTTCCATTCAAGGAAGGAGTTTTCATTAAACAAAAGTTTGCCTACTGCAACCTGCAGCAGTCCTTGCAATTCCAACAGCAACAGCAATCCTGAATCAGGATTTGAGGTTTTGAGTACTATTTTTTTTTTATCCAAACCACTTAAAATCTTATCTTTGGCTTCAAAGTAGCAGCAGGAGTGACTGTATCTAGTTCTGAACTAATTTAAATATATATTTAGGGTATTATCTACATCTTGTTTTGATCTTCCACTCTTTGTGAATTTAAAATGAAGTAGGAATATAATATTTTAATTCTGTTAACATGAATGAAGGACCTTTTTTTTTCTTCTAATTGCAGTACCTGCAACAGAAAACAACTTAGATTCTGTATGATCAATATTGTTCTTGCATGCAGTGTCAATCCCAGGAGGTGCTCACCTTGCCACAGAGCTTCAGAAAGGGATTGCTTTTATCTCCAGCCTAATGCAATTCAGTCCTGTCTATTCAAATCAATTACACTTACTAAAGTTGTATTTAAAAATAATAATGTTGACCTCATATTGAATGCACAAGATGAGTAATAACTCTGATTTTAGGGATAAACTTTATACCTGTGAAATCTTATCTCCATCTAGTGCCTTCCTAAACACGAGCAGAACTTGGCGCCTTTGCAGCTTGGTTAGATAAGTTTTTATCAGTTTAGAGGAAAGCAGCAGCATGGAGTCTTGCTAAATTTATCCTGAAAGCAGCTCTTTGGTGACTTTATACCTGAAGTTACTACCGATGTTAACTGTGAGGGAGTAGGGAAGCAGCAGGCTGAGGGAAGCAGCAGTCAGGCAATATTGCTTCTTTAGAAGCTGTCTAGTGCAATGTGTCATTTCAAATGCCTGTAAGGACTTGTATAGCTGTACAGTTGGGGTTTTTTTCTTCAATTGTGTTGTAATTCTGTTTGAGTAATGAAGCTCTAATATATTCTGTTGCCAGTACTACTGGGGCAGCACCTGAAGCTGGGCTGGCAGAGGGAATTTGTGTGGAAGCTCTGAATCTGCCCAGACTGAGGGTGGCTCACCCCTGTCCCTGAGACCTGGGGCACTTGAGGGCTCTCTTCACCTGGAGCAGCTCTTTTGTACCCAGCACTCTTTGTCTGGGAGGGAGAGATGAACTGGGCTGTTTAAAACAGTTCCCTCAGCACATGGCAGATGAATATTGTGTTTGCTGCTCAAAACAGTAAGGGATAGAGCAGATTATAATAGAATTTGCTTTGTTGGACTGAGGCACTGGTTTGCACTTCCTCAGTCATGGGACAGAGTGACCATGGGTGACACATTCAGTAGCAATTGTGTAGGAAAATCCCTGACACTTTATTTATTTACTTTTCCATTCAAGGAAGGAGTTTTCATTAAACAAAAGTTTGCCTACTGCAACCTGCAGCAGTCCTTGCAATTCCAACAGCAACAGCAATCCTGAATCAGGATTTGAGGTTTTGAGTACTATTTTTTTTTTATCCAAACCACTTAAAATCTTATCTTTGGCTTCAAAGTAGCAGCAGGAGTGACTGTATCTAGTTCTGAACTAATTTAAATATATATTTAGGGTATTATCTACATCTTGTTTTGATCTTCCACTCTTTGTGAATTTAAAATGAAGTAGGAATATAATATTTTAATTCTGTTAACATGAATGAAGGACCTTTTTTTTTCTTCTAATTGCAGTACCTGCAACAGAAAACAAACAACTTAGGTTCTGTATGATCAATATTGTTCTTGCATGCAGTGTCAATCCCAGGAGGTGCTCACATTGCCACAGAGCTTCAGAAAGGGATTGCTTTTATCTCCAGCCTAATGCAATTCAGTCCTGTCTATTCAAATCAATTACACTTACTAAAGTTGTATTTAAAATAATAATGTTGACCTCATATTGAATGCACAAGATGAGTAATAACTCTGATTTTAGGGATAAACTTTATACCTGTGAAATCTTATCTCCATCTAGTGGCTGATAACAGCAAATATTTGGACAGTATCTGTTTTTGAAGAGAAGGACACTAAAACTAATCCCAACAGGTATATTAATGTCCATTAGGGATGCAACTTTACGTCTTACAGAATGTTTTTTAGCATTTCTGTGCCCAAACAGTCCCTCTGTAATTCAGGACTTGAATTCTGAATCATGGCTTGTGAAAATTACTTTCAAACTTAAGATGAATGGATGAAGGTGGTAGTTTTAGATAAAGGAAATGCATGTTGTTGTAACAGACATTAACTGACGAGTTTAAAGAAGTGAAAATCCTTTACCCCTCTGATTTTGGCCAGAAGTCAGAAAACAACCTGATGACTGTGAGGTGCTCAGTGAATGGTAGTAGAGGGCAGGGTAAGTATCAAAATGCTGTTTTGACACAGACTCAAAAGAAGTTCATTCTTCTTTTAATATATTCCTGAGGCTCTCCTGAAAATGCTGCAAGCTATTTTTAACTCTGAGACTTGCAACATTATGATAATCTGCTCAAGACTTTACAAGGAATGCAGCAAGGCCTTAAGTTTTTACTGTGAAGGTGTTCTGTGTAAATTTTGTCTTGACTGTTTGATGAAATACAGTATTTTTTTCTAAACCAAAAAAGGAGTGAAGTCAAAGCTGTATTTTAAGAGCATTTTGACATACAGTGAGCTGGATGACTATCAAGTGATTGGACTACTGATCTAAGTTTGGTAACTGTGAAGAACAGGAGGGGAACTGTGTTTATATCATGTTACATGAAAATGTAGAGCTTTCCACTCAAATGAGCAGTAATGTACGTTAGCATAATAATAACAAACCTGACTGAAAAGACTGTAACACTTCTGTATAAATTTTCTCAATTTGAGACTCAGTTAATTAGTACTATCACGTTAGAAACTAGTAAAATTTCTGTAAACAGCAATAAAAGCCATATAGGAAGGTCCCAGCAAGTACACTAAATGCAAGTCAATTGTATGACTACATTTGTACCATGATAAGTATTCTTTTGTGATTTATTCCAGATACTCTGGAAAGTATTTTGGGATACACTTTTCATATATGCTGTACAAATAATGTATGACATTGTATGCTTTTAATACATCCGGTATGTAGGACATGAAAAGGATAAATTGCAATAAACACTGTATTTAAACTTGTTGTTCTGTTGCGTCAACATGAAACATGAACATGAGTCTTTTAGAAATAAACCTACCTTAAAATGTAGCAGACTCTTACTGTTCACAACCTTGTTTGTTCCAAACGTGTGGGAATGGAAAGCGGCGGAGCCTCCGTGTTCTCCTCGTACAGTATTTTTTTCTAAACCAAAAAAGGAGTGAAGTCAAAGCTGTATTTTAAGAGCATTTTGACATACAGTGAGCTGGATGACTATCAAGTGATTGGACTACTGATCTAAGTTTGGTAACTGTGAAGAACAGGAGGGGAACTGTGTTTATATCATGTTACATGAAAATGTAGAGCTTTCCACTCAAATGAGCAGTAATGTACGTTAGCATAATAATAACAAACCTGACTGAAAAGACTGTAACACTTCTGTATAAATTTTCTCAATTTGAGACTCAGTTAATTAGTACTATCACGTTAGAAACTAGTAAAATTTCTGTAAACAGCAATAAAAGCCATATAGGAAGGTCCCAGCAAGTACACTAAATGCAAGTCAATTGTATGACTACATTTGTACCATGATAAGTATTCTTTTGTGATTTATTCCAGATACTCTGGAAAGTATTTTGGGATACACTTTTCATATATGCTGTACAAATAATGTATGACATTGTATGCTTTTAATACATCCGGTATGTAGGACATGAAAAGGATAAATTGCAATAAACACTGTATTTAAACTTGTTGTTCTGTTGCGTCAACATGAAACATGAACATGAGTCTTTTAGAAATAAACCTACCTTAAAATGTAGCAGACTCTTACTGTTCACAACCTTGTTTGTTCCAAACGTGTGGGAATGGAAAGCGGCTCCAGCGGAGCCTCCGTGTTCTCCTCCGTGTTTCCTTTGGCTCTCGAGAACAGGAAGGCACTCCCTGGCTAAAGACTCTCAAAGCCAAGTCACAAAAGTAGATGAACTCTTTAATGAAATAAAAAAACTATTGACTTGCACAGGATAAACAAAAACTGGGCAGCAGAGCTCTTGGAAAAAAGCCCAACAGCTTCAGATCATCCGGATAACATCTGAATCCATCTGGGATGATGCTCTCCAGGCTTCAGCAGGATGAGACCAGGATGGTTGTTGCCCATCTTTATTTACAGTTTATATTCACTATTCACCTCCTGATAGTGGAGATTTATTTTTAAGACTTTAAAAATAAAGCAATCTACGTGTCAACTAAAGAAGAGGTTGTGCAAACACGATAATCACAATGTCACAGGTTTGTAATGCTCACAGGAAGAATGGCAAGTTTTTAACTCAAATAATGCTTTTCTATTTATGTGTATTCAGCTCAGATTGCCAAGCAGCCCTGATAAAATCTTGTTGAAATGGGCAGTGCTTGTGCTGAACCTACAGCATGGGATTCTGGGAGCAGGATACAGATGCTTTTCAGAGAGCTTGAAATATTTTACATCTAAAAACTTCTGCATATGGACAGATGAGAAGTAAGTTCTCTATGCATGAATTCTGTAATTCTGCACAGGAGATCCCTGCTCCACAGAATGGAGATGTACATGCTGAGAGTTTCATTCCACTTACATTTTACTTCATCCTTGTTCAGCCCCTGGGGCCATTTGCATGTGTAAAAGAAGAAAAGTGCATGAGAGACCTGAGTTAAGGTCCTTCCAGCCCTGCCTCAAGCACAACATAGAAGGAGCACAAGACAAGAAGGACACAGGAGCCACTTACAACTCAAGGTATGTGAATGTTTTCAAAAGAAAAAGGGACTTGGTGATTTAAAGGGAAAATACAAAGTGAACATCTGTGAGGTTACAATATTCTGTAAAGGCACGTGGTATGTAGGCAATGCAGTGATCTGATGGTTGCTTCCCAGTATGTTTATAGGTAGAAAGACATATAGATTTGCTTTTAAAATGTTTGGGGCTTTTTTTTGAGAATTTAGGTTAAAAGGAAGAGGTTGTTTTTGGTTTTTTTTTTTTTTTTTTTAAGGAAAATAAAATTTTACAAAGGAATTTTAAGGAAATTTTTATTTTAAGGAAAATAAAATTATTACAAAGGTGCATCATGCAGATAAGAAAGGAGTTTTTTTTCCTAAAAGAAATAAAATTTATTTAATTAAATTCCAAATACTCATACCATTTTTTCTTGTTATTTTGGGGGTAATTTACATTCTATGTGTAGCTTGTTTCTTCTTCCCCTCCTCCTCAATATTCCTGAGCAGAGAAACTGTAAAGGCAGTTCCCATCCACCCCCCCAAAAATCCCTACAATCTAAAGTTTCTTTTGCTCCTTTTCCAAATGAAAAGAAGTAGCATTTTATGAAGTTGAAGAAAGCAGAAAACAACAGCTTTTCTTGTAGAAATAACACTAAATTACTAAATCTATATTTCCTTCTTCAAGCTTGTACCAAAGTTGATGCTGTCTCAGTTGCATAGCATCTAGATACTGCCCACCTGTTCACAACCAAGAACGTTTTTGTTCCAGCACCTTCCAAATTTCACCTACTTGTTCATCATTCTGGAACTGTGGGTTACATGTAAACAGAAAATGTTATTCCAAAATTTAACACTCCAGAACTGTAAAGATGAACAATATTCCTTCCCAGTGAACTTGGACAAATACAGACTTAGTGAACAAAGTGAGGTACAGAATGATCAGGTATGATTCTCAGAAACCATGTTATTAACGCTTTATTCTCTTCATTTTTACTCTACTTTTTTCTATGTTTATGCAGTTTAGCACATAAACTGAACCCACTGTAAATTGCTTTTCTGTACACGTCATAAAGCAGCTGAACATTTTGTGAGAGCAGTGGTCTAATGCGATTGTTCCTTCTAGATCCTCAGTTCCCTGCAGCCAGGAGCAGTTTCCATGCCCTGTCCCCCACTCTCTCCTACTGCAGGATGAAGTGTTCCCCACTCTCTCCTATTGCAGATTCAGGTGTTCCCCACTCTCTCCTAGTGCAGGATCAAGTGTTCCTTCTGCAAGAGGCAGAAATGGGACACGGATGCGTGACTTAAACCTGCGTAAGAGGCAGCAATTCGAGGAACTTGTGTCCTGTAACTGCGGGGCACCTCCCGCTGAGAAAAACTCAGGGATTTCCCTGAATCTTAGGCAAAACTCCCCCAGGGGATTTCCCACGGATGATCCAGGTAGTGCGTAACAGACAAAAGATGTCGAAAAATTTAGATAGGATACCAGATTGGTCTCTGGGGAGGGGGAAAAGTCAGAGTCTGCTGCAGTGCTGACCCCAAACATCGCTCAAAAGATGTCGAAAAATTTAGATAGGATACCAGATTGGTCTCTGGGGAGGGGAAAAGTCAGAGTCTGCTGACCCCAAACATCGCTAAAAGGTGTCGAATTGCTCTCCAACTCAGAGCCACAGGCTTTCAGCGCTGCCCCGCGCGTGTCACGGGGCACACGGCGCAGCCTTCCCAGCTCCGGGTGCAGTTCTGGCAGGACGAAGGCGGGCACACGGCGCAGCCTTCCCAGCTCCGGGTGCAGTTCTGGCAGGACGAAGGCGGGTCCCCAGCGCTCCCTCAGCGCTCCCTTCGCGCGCCGAGCAGGTCGGGCCCTGCCGCCGCGCCGTCACTTCCGGCGAGATGGCGGCCCGCGGGGCTCTGCCATGGCGGCGGCTCCGGGGCTGCGCGGGCGGTGCAGTTCTGGCAGGACGAAGGCGGGCACACGGCGCAGCCTTCCCAGCTCCTGGTGCAGTTCTGGCAGGACGAAGGCGGGCACACGGCGCAGCCTTCCCAGCTCCGGGTGCAGTTCTGGCAGGACGAAGGCGGGCACACGGCGCAGCCTTCCCAGCTCCAGGTGCAGCTCTGGCAGGACGAAAGCGGGTCCCCAGCGCGCCCTCAGCGCTCCCTTCGCGCGCCGAGCAGGTCGGGCCCTGCCGCCGCGCCGTCACTTCCGGCGAGATGGCGGCCCGCGGGGCTCTGCCATGGCGGCGGCTCCGGGGCTGCGCGGGCGGGCGCTGCCCGAGCTCCGCGAGATGCTGAGGCGGCAGGAGCGGCTGCTGGCCGACCGGTGAGGGCAGCCGGAGCGCCGAGCAGCGCGTCGGGCTTCCCGCCACTTCGCCCGTCCGCTTGCAGGCGGCAGAGGGCGAAGCGCCCGCTGGGGCCGGGAGGGCGCGGGCAGCCCCGCTGCGGCGGCTGGGGCCGCGGGCAGCGCTCGGGCTGTACGTGTCCGTGTGGCTCGGGGATGGGCTCCTGTCCTGTGAGGAGAGGCTGAGAACGGGCACTGTTCAGCCTGGAAAGGGAAGCTTTGCGGTCACCCGGCTGCGGCCTTGCGGAGCCTGAGGGGAGCTTGCAGGAGCGACAGGCAGAGCGATGTGCGGGAGCATGGCGTGACGGAGGGAGGGAACGGGTTCACGTGGAAGAGAGTAGGTTTGGATGAGACACAGGAGGAAGAAGTGATCCCCGGTGGGGCAGGAGCTGCGGCTGCCCCGTCCCCGCGGCTGTTCAGGGCTGCAGGGGGAAGTGTCCCTGCCCCTGGCACGGCGTGGAACGAGGTCATTTCTAAGGTCCCGTCCCACCCAAACCACTTCATGGCTCGTGTGTTCCACTGACAACACGTAGGTAGTGCTGTGCTGCGAGTGCTTTGCATCTTGCCTCGTTTCAGAAGTTTAGTTTGTAAATAAGCTGATGTTGCAATGTGAAACCTGCCCCCTTAGCTATTCTAATAAAACTTTTGTATCTCAGGTTGAAATAGGATTGTTTATAATAATGTTTGTTTGTCTGTTTGTTTGTTTTAGGAAGTTCATTGCTAGGCTTCCAGATAAGGGTAAGAAGATCTCTGATTTTGCTGAAAAGCTCAAGCTTGCCATTTTGCAAGAGGAAGAAGTAGCCAGGACAGCTGAGCTGTTATCTGCTGTCAGGTTGGAGTTTCAGGCAAAACAGGAGGAGATTAATACAAGCAAACAGGGAGTTGTCCTGACTGAGGACACAGTGGACAGTGCAGATTCCTCAGTCGTTAATGAAAACTCTAACATTAAGGACATTTCTGACACTTCTGCTGAAAGGCAGGAGGCAGAATGTGTTGAAGAAGATGCCACTAATACAGCTTTAGAAAATCAAAGGACTCAGAGGAAAAGTAATAAAGTAAAGACTGTTATTTGTGAAGATGTCTCCAAGTCAGCCACAAGCAATCACCTGAACAATGATCAGCAAGTGTCCCAGAGCAATGCTGAGGATGGGACAGAAAGTAGAGCTGCTCTGGACAATAGTAAAGAAGCCTTGGTTGATGCCTTTCAAAGAGTTACAATTGCAGATGGGGAAAACAGTGAAAAAATACTGGAAAAAGAGCAGGATGTGGCAAAACACAAGGGCAATGCATTTGGAAGGCAGCATCCCAAGACTCCACATTATATTGAGGTTCTAGAGGCCAGAGCCAAGAATCCAGTCATGAAAAAACCCAAATTTAAAACAAATGCGTGAGTACAGATCTTTTGTATGTGCATAAAATTGAAAATAGTACAGAACAAGCATGATGGCTTTATTTTCTAGTGGTGATTAAAGAGATTTGAAGTCTCATGACAGACAAGGTTCATGTGTTAGCTCTGTATCTTTAAATGCCACAATCTCAGTACTGAGCAGTGGCTTCTTTCTGCCCATCTGAAACAACTGTCATGAATCTTCACAGAATTTCAGAGCTTAAGGTGCAAAACTACTAAACAATTGGTAAAACTTTGGGATCAGTTCTAGAACATGTAGAACTTTAATAGCTGGAAGTGTTTTGATTTTTCTGCACTTTTAGGAGAATTACATTTACATTGTCTGTTCTGGTAGCAGTGACAGTTTGTACCTTGTGTGACTGACACAGCATTGCTACTTCAGTCTGCTAATAAATCAGCAAACCAGTTTGGTTCATTGTCAGCAGTAACTTTTCTATCTCTGCAGAGAAATAGTTCTGTTTTCTCTGAGTGCTGCTTACTTTTTATTTGTCTGTGTTTTCATAGCACTTCAGATTTATTTTCAACTCTTAAAAGTAAGTTTTGAAACTGGAGTTGTTCAGCCTTGTGGTGCAAATTTGGATCACAACACAGGTTGTTTTGTGTTTCCCAGACTGTCAGGAGAGCAGAGTGGATCATCTCATGGTTCCTCATCCAGTCGCTCTCCCGGCGGATTTGGCTCTCCAGTTCCTCCAGAAGAGAGAAGACTCAGAGATAAGAAACACTTGGATGACATCACAGCAGCTCGACTGCCACCACTTCACCACTCCCCTGCCAAGCTGTTATCCATAGAGGAATCCATAGCAATTCAGATACAGCAAAAAGAAGCTTATGAGGTATGAATTTACAATTGGCTCTGAAAATTACATAACCAGGATCACTCCCAAGACAGAAAAGATAAAGGGATCTTTTCATAAAGGTGAATTGAGATGGGCAGACTTTGAGGAAAGGCACTTTGTCTTATATTTGATTCTTTTCATGATATAATTAAAGAATGTATTAATGCTCTCTGAAAGTGTTGATCCTCCATGAAACAAAATCTTTGTGTGTTAATGTGCTGACCTGACTGCACTCACTTCACCTCTGACTAGAAATTTAAATGTACACCTTCCCTGTTAGTGATGACAGAGCTTTTGTCCCTTGCATAAATGAAGGCCTAGCAGTATTTGTTGTTCTTAAAATATGCAAGTATCTGCATTTGCCTTTATTTATGCTGTGTCTGAAGAATCCAGGTTCTGAGGTTCTAAATTCTGTTATAATGGAGTTTGACTTTCCAGGCAGTGTCAGGCTAATGTCTAAATTAGGTACTATTGTAGAAGTGTTCTTTTAAAAGTGACATTACTATACCACAGGTGGGGGCTGCCACTTGGAGAGTTTCAACTGTTATTAAAAAAAGTCAAATATGAATAGCATAGTTATGTATAAGTGTGAAAAGAAACTTGAAATTTCTTTGCTAATTGCTAAAACTTTTAATTAAGCCCGCTTTGGAATTATTATTATTATTATCATCATCATCATCATTATCATTATTATCATTATCATTATGTCAAGTTTATATTTTAGTACATTAGCTTATTCATGAGAATGACAAATGAACACTTTCTAACCTGTGTCCTTTTTTTTCTGACATAGGAAATGCAAGCCAAGCTTGCAGCACAGAAGCTTGCAGAGAGACTGAATATAAAAATGCTCAGGTTTGAACCAGAGTGGGAGGCCTCAATGCAGTACAGAGAAGTGAGAGATGAAGATTATTTTTCAGCAGAAGACTGAATGCATGAAAGAGTGTCTGTGGATGAGCTGTGTAACTGATCTTTATGCAGTACTTCTTAAAACCCAAACCTGAATATTTAAAATGCTTCATCTAGTCAGTTTTTTCTTAAAATTTTCACATGACAGCTCCAGGAAGGGTTCAGTGTAGACATCATAAACACACATGTCACAATTATTTATCAGTCTTCTTTGGGGACTGTTTTTTGAGCACTTGGGGCAGTTAATTCTTGTGGAATGCCCCACAGTTCTCAGATTTAGCAGAGTAAGCTCTCTGATACAGTTTTGCAGGCTAGGATGGGTCAGCTATAAGATCAAGTTTCCTCTGTGCAGAAATGTGATTGCAAAGGACTTTGGCACAAAACATGTCCATAAAGAAAGCTGAGGTGCCTGTAAACTGCTGACATGGATGCAAGCTCTTGTCTTCTATAAATTTGAGCTACTTCTTTTACCTATTTAATGTTACCTTTCATGGTATGGTGAAAATACCTGCCCAGAGAGGTACAATAAGTATCTGATCTTTAGGCTGGAACCACATGAGAACTTGTTTCTCTGCCTGCACCTTAAAATAACACTTGCTGCCCTTAAGTTGTAAATAGCTAAGAATTTAAAGTTATTATGCAACTCAGATTCTGTTTGGGCTTTAAGGGACTCTGCTGTTTGGTTTTTGGTTATTATGGCAAAGCACATCAAGAGATCAAGTTCATCTGAAGACTTTACTATTCTTATTAAAGATTTTTATGTTTTTCTGTATTTTTGTACACTGCTTTTATACTTTGGATGTACTATTTTTTCATAGTCTAATACTGTAAATTAAGAGATCCACTCTGGTTTTCTTGGAGGAAGTATTGTGTGTATTTTTAAGTTTTGGCTGTTACTTGAAGATAAAAAACAACCTTCCTTACATCACCATGAATATGAAAATATGAATTTTGAAAGATAAGGAACACACCTGACAAGTATTTCACAATGGTATTTTCACTGTGGACTAGGATTTTCTGAGCCTAGTTGAGTTCACTTCTTAAAAACAAACCTCAGAGATTCCTTGTACAGGCTGGCAATGCCTGTTTTCCACGATGCTGCCACAGCTGTGTGTGCAGGGCTGTCCCTGGATGTTCTGCAGGAATGATGTCTTTGGAAACCAAGGCTGCTCCAGCTGCAAGTCATTTAAAAAGCTGCACGGGATGAAAATGTGGGAGGAAGGTCTCAGCCACTGCTTGAGTGCAGGCAGCACTTCCCTGCAGGCAGCAACTCTCTCCCAAGTGCTCCAGGCCCTCCTGGGCAGTCCCTCTGGCACAGTCCATACCCTGGCACTGCAGTTGGACAGGTGCAACTGCTGCTAAGCTGCTTGTGATATTTTTTGACTAGGTCATCTCTTGCTCTTTCCTGAACCCTTTCCTCTTGCAGCCTTCTGGTTCTCATTGTTCATTGGCTTCTCATCAGCTGCTCTTCCCTTTTTCTTGTTAGGCTTACCTGCTGTCACTAAACCCAATCCATATTCTGCCTCCCTGCACCACCCATTCCCTTTCCAATGACATGCTGTGTGTGTCTGTGTGTGACTCCTGCCATGTGTCATGCAGCCTCCTGCCACTGCTATCTTGCCTTGCTTTCTGGAACTCCATCTGAATACCAGCTGTGCTCCTCCTATGTGCCTCAGTCCCTTGAGTACCTCACAGAGACCTCAATATCTTTGCAGTTTTGCCATGACTGCTCTCCTGAGACTTTCCTTATTTCCTGATTTGGTTTCAGACTCTGCAGATGTTTGTCATTTCCAGGCCTTCTCACCTTTCTACCTTCTTTTCATACTTGGGTTTTTTCCTTCCTCTTGTCTATGCTCCTTCATCCTCCCAGCTTCTCACCATCACTTGCCTTTGTCAGCACAATTCTTTGGCTTGTTTTCAGCCATTCACATTCATCCCTCAGCATCCCTGTTGACCCAGTGGATCTCAGTTGTATCTATTTCTGTTCAGCACGTGGCTCTGACTCACAGGCCAGAGGAGTGATCTCTTGTGGGTGCAGCTCATCTCTCAGATCAGTGCTTTCCATGCTGCCACCTGCTTGTCCAGCTGCATCTTGTCATCAGCCCTCCCATTATTGCAGTCTGTAGTGCTCAAGGACAAGCAGTCTCAGAACTGTATTTGCTTTCCCTTTGCTGTTTCATGAAACCTCAATTACCACTTCCATGCCGTTTGCATCTCTTCCCCGGTTGGCATCCTTGCCCTTCTCCTGTAGTGGCTGTGCTGTCACACCTCTGTGAGATGCTGTGTTTGTTCTCTGCTGGCTTTTCTGTGCTGAAGGAATTCACACAAAGCTATGCAGTTAGGGACTTTTTTCTAGAGTACTGAAATTTGCCTCTACCTAGGCTTCTGCTGAGCACACATTTCTGCTAACTAAACCAGCTCTTTTACTTTTTTTTTTTTTTTGTGCTATTAACACCTACTTTTGCTCTCTAAACTTTGTAAATCAGAGGCGCTTTTCTTGACCTTTATATTGACAGCATTCAACGTACTGGGCTTTTGCCAAATGATCCCTGCATGGGCAAACTCCACCCTTCAGGGGAGGCAGGGTGGGGTGGGGTGGCAATCACTGTGGTAACAGGTGAAGTTCATTATGTGTTCGTTAAATAATCAGCAGCTTGTTCAGTGCAGTGTTGGGGAGCTCCTGTGTGAATACCAAACCAAGCTAAAGGTAGGAATTTTAAGTTATTATTTTAAAGTTTGGAAAACCTAGAAGCTTTCTTGGGGGTTGTTGCTTCTGAGCAGAGGTATGCACTTTGAATTAAGATGCTGTGAATGATAAGGAAGTAAAATCAGTTTAAAGAGTCCTGTGTGGAGGACGTGCAATCTTGAAGTCTGTGAAACGTTACAGCACAAGAGGATCATGAAAGGATTTGCTGGATAATGAAAGGATGAATCATTAAATGGTTTAGTCTCATTGAAAAAAAATCTGATTGAGTATGGTTTTGCTGTTGTGTATTTCATTGTTTCCCAGTCATGTCAAAATGTATACTGAGAGCTGAGGAGCTTGCTCTCTGTTTTGAGAATGGACTGCTATATTGGAATGGGCTGTTAACACAGTAAAAATAAAGAATGGATAATATATTTTTGAAGTTGTTCACGTGAATAATGTTTGTTTTGACCATGTAACATTTAGAAGAGAAATGGAACTCTTGTGCTTCAGTGCTTTACAAGGAAAAGGAAAACTGTTGCTATGTAGGAAAAGAAAACTAGAGATTCAAACGGATGAGGAAAGACCTGAGAGGCCTAAAGCTGGCCAGTCTTGCAGGTCTGAGAGGTGGCACAGAGACACAGCTTAAATGTGGCCCGTGGTCAGAGAGCTGCAGCATGTGAGGTATGGATCTGTGCAGCCTTGGTTTCTGCCGTGCTGGGGTACCTGATTCCCAAACTGCTCAGAAGAAAAGCCCTGTAACAGATTTTCTGTGCTTTAACCTTTCCTGAGGGAGAGAACCTGTAATCTGGCTTGCCTGCTATGGTGATATCATCTAGAGGATTTAGCCGCCTAAAAATTTATGCTAGTATGGTACTTAGAAATGGTATTTAGAAAATCACATATGAAGAAAAACCTAAATATTGCTGGACTTTTAATTATTTTTGGCAGACTTTGAGAATGACTGAGGGTAGAAAGGACACAGTTGTTTTTCCTGTTTTTTGGAGTTCTGTTGATAGTGTGGATTACTTTTAAGGGCCACATGATCAAAAAAAAGTCAGTGACAGTGAGCTGTGATCTCCTGTGGAGGAAACGGGGCTGGTAAATTGAGAGAACTTGGAAACTGTGGCTCAGTGCTGTGGAGTTTCTGAACCTGCCGCAGGGACACAGTATCAGGAGTCAGGGAGAGCAATACCCAGACACTGCTGCCTGATGAATCAAGAGGCGAGTGGGAAGTCACAGCACGAGCTGCTCACGGTCCCTGAGCAGCAGTTTGGGGCTTTCTGTGTGGATCTCCAGGCACACCACAAGCTGGCAGCCTCCCGGCGGCCCTGAGCCCTGTGGAGCAGCGCGCTCCCTGCTGTGGCTGTGCCCGTGGCTGCTGCTCAGCTCCCCTGCAGCTCCCCTGCAGCTCCCCTGCAGCTCCCCTGCAGCGCCAGCTCGGCACCAGGAGCCTGCAGCCTCAGCCGTGAGCCACGCTGGGCTTTGCCAGTGAAAATTACCTGTAGTAGGACGCAGTTCTGGCATGGTTTGGGTGGAGTGTGGCTCATCCCCTGCCTTTTGCAAGTTAGTGCCTGCAAGGTGTCTACTTGGGCATGGGGAATTGCAACTGGCCTTTTATTGCAAATGAAAATGAATGGCTTTGAGGACGAGCTTTTATTTTTTTTTATTTTATTGTGTTGGAACAAGCTGTGTCCTATCCTGTGGACTCTACTGTAGGAAAAGGCAGCTTTTCTCACCTTTCCCAGCCCTGCTTCTTCTTCAGAGTGGGATAAGAAAGAAGCATAATTTCTCCAAAGTATTTTGGGTGTAGGTGTTGCATGTTGTGGCATTGTTCCAGGGAGGTGCTAAGTGACCTGTATTTTCCCTTAGTTTGTGGGGGAGGTTTTTTTTGTTTGTTTTTGGTTTTGTGGTTTTTTTTTTTGGTTTGGTTTTTTTTTTTTTTTTTTTTTTTGTTTTTTTTTTTTTTTTTGGTTTTTTTGTTTTTTTTTTTTTTTTTGGTTTTTTTGTTTTTTTTTTTTTTTTTGGTTTTTTTGTTTTTTTTTTTTTTTTTGGTTTTTTTGTTTTTTTTTTTTTTTTTGGTTTTTTTGTTTTTTTTTTTTTTTTTGGTTTTTTTGTTTTTTTTTTTTTTTTTGGTTTTTTTGTTTTTTTTTTTTGGTTTTTTTGCAAATTCACTGCTTCTAGGTGGTATGTGTGGAGATCACCATTGAGATTTCCTGGTCTCCTAATGTTTGGGTTTAGGTTGTGAACTCCCACGTTCTGGAAGGGAGAGGGAAGTAGAAAAGACAGCTGTGTGAATACATGTGTTTTGTTGTGGTATTCTTTGTTTTTTTAGCCAGCTAATGATTGTGTTTTGTTCTCATTCTCTGCAGTGCTGTGTCACTGCTGCCACTGTGGTGGGCAAATGTTAGCTGACTGCAGCCCAGACATTTTCCAGCCACACTGACTTTTCATGGGTTATGGATGCACAACTGCATT